GGCCCACCACCTGCCAGCCCGTTCCCCGGGCGGGGCCAGCCGTGGTAAGGGGGTGGTAGGCCCCGCTAAGCAAGACCGCCCCGACGTTGCTGCCAAGAGAGCAGCCTGTAAGGTAGCACAGCAAGACCCCACCAGCCAGGGCGAGCCATGAACAGTTCATATCCAGTACTCCTTCCATAGAATCATAGAATCATTGAGGTTGGAAAACACCTCTAAGATCATCAAGTCCAACCATCCACCCAACCCCACCATGCCTGCTAAACCGTGTCCCCAGGTGCCACATCCACACGTTTTCTGAACCCCTCCAGGGATGGGGACTCCACCACTGCCCTGGGCAGCCTGGTCCAGTGCCTGACCATTCCTTCAGTAAAGAAATTCTTCCTCATCTCCAATCTAAAACTCCCCTGACACAACTTGAGGCCATTGCCTCTTGTCCTATCGCTAGCTAGTTGGGAGAAGAGACCAACCCCCGCCTCACTACACCCTCCTTTCAGGTAGTTGTAGAGAGCAATAATGTCCACTTGCGAGTGTCAGTGGGTCACAGCCACCCGCCCCGTGCGTGTCCTCTGCCTCCAGAGCAGCTGAAGCTGCAGGACTCTTCATGCAGGGCCATACATTAAAGACATATTGAGCATTTGCCACCCTGCAGGGCACAGATCTGCTGAGCACCCTGGAGACGGAGCCCAGAAGTCTCTAGCCACCACCCTTGCCCTGGCCTAAATTCCAGCTTAGTCTAAGGTTAGCTGGAGCAGGAGAAGGGGCAGGTGTCTGACACCAACCTCCAGCACCCCAGAGCCTTTCGGAATTGACCCCTCAGCTTAAGAGCTTATCCCTGATGTGTCTCGGAAATAGTGCCTATGAAAACCGAGGGGCCAGTCACGCCCCGTCCGCGACCCGCAGGAAGGGCTCTTTCCAAAGCCCCCACGCTACCAAAGGTGATGTCGAGAGAGAGGTCCCTGTCGTGTCCCACCTGACTGCTCACGGCAAGGCGTGCAGTTTCGACCCTCCTGCTCCCCGCGTGCTGCAAAAGGACCCCAGCGGGGCACTGCTGCCAGAAGCGGTCGTGCCTGGGGCTGGGGGGGTGCCCAGCAGCCCACAGGGCTGAGCAATAGGGTCTCAGAGCCCCCCTGGGCTGCGCAAGTGGGGGCCAGGAGCTGCATGGAACAAAGTGCACTTCCTGGACCTGCCGACAGCCTGGCTTTTTCGGTTAGCTGCTCCAACATGTTTAGCAGTCAGCCCAGACTTCCCACCTGAACTTCCCTTACACCTGGCCTCTAGTCACCAAGAAACACAGCTTCCCACATAGGATCACAGGATAATTTCAGTTCGCAGGGGACCCCTGAGGGTCATCTTGTCCAAGCTCCTACTCAAAGCAGGGTGAGCTATGAGGATCATGCTATCCGGGTCGGCATACTGGTGCAGCTCACATACCTGATGCTTCTTGTTCTCAGAGCTCATGGTAAGGGGTTTGTAAGTGATCTTGTAGGGCTTGTTTTGTTGATTAGCCTCTAGATGGAAAAATTCAGGCCCTTTCCAGTGCTCCCCCTCAATGACAGGCTGCACAGTCCAGGCTTCGTTGCTTGGGTTGGACAGGAGGATGGTCTGGCTGTGCTTCTCGCGCACATCACAGGTAAAAATCAGCGTCTGCAACAGAGGAGCACAGAGGCTGCTTGGTCCTACCCAGGCACCCTTCCCACTCTTGCGGACTGGGACTAGCTCCACGCCAGGCCCTGGAGCACAAGGCGCAGCTTTTCCTTGCCATACGCGAAATTTCCATTTGAACCATGGCTTTTGGAACAAATAGAGTTGTTCTTAGAGGAGGGAGAGGAACAAGTCTTTTGCACACCAGGTGAAGGGGGCTGCCACCTCCCAAGGAGGTGAGAAAGAAAATGGCAAGTCCTGGAAGGAAATCTCTCTTGTGCAAGGACGAGACCTGCAGCCACACAGCCCCTCCGTGGGCAGGCTGAAGAGTAGCTCCGGGCTCTGTCTCAGGAGCACGAGCCAACACCTTCCAGCTGCACCCTCCTGCAAAGCCTGTGAGGGCCCGGGGTCCTGCACGCTGCATCCCTGTGCCCCAGGAGCTAGATGCAGACGCCTTGCCCACTCCCAGTGCCGAACGCCCTGCCCTGCCCCGCCGGGGAGGAGGAGGGTGGCTGCG